CCTCACGGCACATTCTGTTGAGTGCTGTGTGATGCTGCTCAGGGAAGATGTGAACAAGTGTCTCCTCATCCCAGAAAGGGAACCAACAACAGAGCAAAGTCACAGTACCACCAGAGGCCAACTTGGTGAACCACTGAGTTTACTCAGGTTACTTACAAGAAGATGGATGACTCAAAGGCAGCTACCACAGCATGGAGATGTCCTCTACACAACATGTAGGTAGTTGGACAAGTCAGAGTCTCCTCTCCACAGCAGTCCTTACTGCTTATGTAACCTTTGGGGGAGGGGCCTTGTGAGTGCTCAATTTCAGGGACTTCCAGAGACACCAAGTTGTTTACTTCCTGAGTCTTTATGAGCTTCCCTCCGGGATGGCATTTCTACACGGCACTAAGGTCACTGGTGAGCACCTTCTCCCACGGGAAGGGCCCTAGCTGCCTTGGCTGCTTTTTCCTTCTCCTTTCAGTGGGAGTGTCTCAGAGAAATCACAAGTGGAGAGGGTGCAGTAGGCTCCATCTTGTTATTAGAACTGAGAAAGAAAAGTGAATACAGAGATCAAAGAGAACAGCTTGAAGTAGCAATGGAAAAGGATTTTTCCAGATCTGAAGCTAATCCAGACCAAACTTAAGTGATCAAAGGACCCTTAATATGACTTAAAGGGGGGGGGGGTGTCAGTATTCCACCTCGTTATGCTGTGGAAGACCTCAGGAGCAAAGAAACCCAAAAGGGTGTTCAAAGGAACAGCACCTGCACCACACAGATGCCTCAGAGGTTCAGTATAAGCTAGAACACTGGGCACCATCGGGGGAAATTAAACAGCCTAGAATTCTAGGTGATCTAAGTGAAAACTATGTGTAAGAAGAGTCCAAGAGAGACATGAGTTCAGATGGACAATGCTGTTATTCTAAATGTCTTCTTGGGAGGAGCACTGAAGATTGCATTCCCTAAAGAAAGAAAATTGCCCTAGATGGGAAGTTTGTAGTATAAGTAGTAAATAAAGGGAGGAGATCTATCTCAGAAGCATTGAATCTGCCAAACAAGAAAAACTATGTCCCCAACAAGTTAAGTCAGAGAGCCCTAGTGTTTGCAAAAGTGGACCAGAAGAGGATATTGAGAGTGAGAGTGTTAAGCCCCTCATGTTGGATCAGACGATGAAGATCTAGTTAACTCTGGACTGTGATAATTGAAGCATGCATCTCTAGGGCGAGAGCTAAAAGAATAGGAAAGTTTTCACCTTTAAGGTGAGAGAGAAAAAAGCTAAAAATACAAACTTTTTAGTGGAGAACAGGGGTTTATTTGTTTTGTTTTTAAGGTGGGGACAGTGAGATGGCTCAGCAGATAAAGACACTTGCTGTGGAGTGTGATGATTAGAGTTAAAAACCCAGGACTTACATGGGAGAAAATGAGAACTGATTCCCAGTAGCCATCCTTTGACCTCCACAGTCATGCCATGATGTACACACCCACATAGAAAACAATAAACAGTAATATTTAAAGTGGCAGAACAAAAAGAATACACAAGAGAATACAGGCTGGACACAGCTGGACAGGAGTCAGTAATTACACACTGATCAGTTGTAAGGACAGTGTGCACACACCTGTGTGCAGTCGCGCCCCGGTCTTATTCACAGGTACAGTAGGTGCTCTGGCCTGCAAGCAGCCAGCCTGTGGCTCTCCGGGCTCACAGGTGAGTGGGAAACAGTTTCTAGGTGAGATAACCAGCTGCTGTGGGTAGCAGATGAGCATGTGATGGTCATCTGTCACTGTTGTATGCCTTTAACTCCAGTCTCCTATAGTCTAATAAATCTTTCGGCTCTTAAGATGGGAGTTCAGTGCCTCATTTATGCTAGCCCCTAGATTTTCAAAAAGAACTGTGGGTAGCCCTGAATGAGCTCCCTCTCCTGCCTCAAATGGCACTAGTGACTGCTCTTCTTGGTCTCATCTCCTAAATTGCTTGTCTTTCTGAGGCATCAGAGTCCATCCAACACAGATGACCAAAAGCCACTTGGCTTTGAGTTCTGGGAAAAAGACAAGTCTGACCTGAGATGGGGAACATCATGCAAAATACCCCATTAAGTCATTCAAATGGAAGTGGTGAAATGGTATTTTGGATTTTTGGGTGGGGAAAAAAAGTCAATTTATAAGCCTTTTCAACATGATTACTAGAAATCTGAGCATTGCACATGTAGCTCCAACTGCATTTCTGTCACACAATGGTG